AAATGCCCAAACTCAAAGACCAAATAAGTTAGGAGACAGAAGATTTTACTGGGGAAGAGAATTTGTTCAACAGGCTTCATACATACATTTCCTTGCTCCTACAGTAGTAGTGAATCAAAAAAATGAAAGAAATAATTTCAAGTTCCCTGTTAATTCCAACCCCATAGGACCCCCCAGCCAGATCTCTGATTTTTATGTGTACCTATAGAATAGTACAAAAAGTCTTGTTTTGCCCTTGTATGTATTGGACCTGTCCTGTGCACAGACAGTTCTGGAGTTTAACATTCCTACCCCAAAATCGATGAGCCACCTGATTCAATAAGCCTGGGCCAAAGTCAATACTGCATGTGCGTGCGCTGATTTTTACAATTTCTAGCCAAGCCCTGCTCTTTCTGATGATTATTCAGTGGTTTCTCGTCTTACTTAAATAACTTGACACTCATAGTGTGGAAGACCTGAGTATGGATTGCCATGCCAAGCAGTCTGCAGTACGCGTATACTACTCCTCTGCCACTATGCAGTATGATGTCCCAAAAAAGCAAACAATAACTATCAAAGCACCAGCTTAGGCTCACTTTTATGTCCTGGAGAATACATATTCACTGACTAAAAACCTCTGCAGGAAAAGCAACACTTGCATACCCTCCAGGTTCCATGAATATTAGTTTGTTTTGATGTTCCTCTTAATATTCATGAATAGGCTGCTTGCTTTCCAAATGTCTGTCATCTATTTGGGGAAAAACAAACTATCCTATGATTTAAATGACCAATCAGCAATACAAAGTGACTGGCCAAAGCGAACTATGGTTTAAAAACAAAAGCTTGGAGGATTAATTGGACTGAATTATGTAACAGTTGGAAATTACAAGTGAACTTGTAAAAATCACAGAACTAGAAAAGCTCTTTTGTTACTTAATCTATTTTGAGTAGATAATGGAATTTTCTTTTATTTCCCTGAGAATTCAGCTCTTAGTGCTGAGCCAGGTGCAGACCATGACCCGCTGGTCAGCAAAGCTCCCACCTATGCTGCAGTGGGCGTGCAGGGCTGTTGCAGCCTGCAGCACCACATGCTCTGTGTGGAGGCATCTTCCATCGCACTCTGGACCACAACTTGCACACTGACAGTAAAATAAAAAAAAGAGAGTGCACCTCAGAACGTGGTGTGGCACAGTTGAGGAGAGGTTAGCTCTGATCTGAAGAAGAGAATGAGTCCTTTAAAGCCTGGGCTTTACTCTTTGCTGGGACCAGCACACCTCTATGGTCTTCCCACGGTAGCAAAAGACACTTGCACCATGATGACTCTCTCACTGAACCCAAAATCTCCCACAGGTGACAGTTATCTTTCAAAACAGCTGTAACATTATTAGCCATAGAGTTATTCTGGCTGTAACTGGTGAAGTCTTCTCCCCAGCTTTACCAAGAGACTCACGGAGCAGTATGCAAAAACGTGGCTGTAAGTTGTCAGGACTGGGCAGAACAGATTTGAGGAGAAATGTTAAGTTCTTAAAATAGCTCGTGAACCTTGCTTGGAGGTAAACCTAAAAGGAAGTACATCTACTCAAACACATCACTGTCCAGCACACTCATCTATCATGTGCTTTGTAGCAGCCTTTAGAGAGAGGTGGTTCATGTTCCTGGCTCTCATGGGCTCCACATGTAAACAGTAATTTCTTCATCTCCTGAGATACCCCTTGCATGCATGGCTGCAGCGCAGGAGAAGCGTGTTGTTATAGTTACTGGCTATGACTTACCCCTGCCATTGTCATGGTATTTTCAGTAAATGGCGCTTAAACAGCAATCTAGCAAAGGTTTGCAGAATAATGACTGCTTGTGTTCACTTAATAACAGGACACAAGCGTCTCTGCTGTCCAGTCTCTTCATCCATTTCTCCCTGTCCCTTACGTCACGAATGAGACCCCGATTCTCTTACATAAGCAACACTACAAAGGTCACTTCTTACATTTGATTTTTTTTTCTATTTTTTTATTTCTGCTCCCTGGAAAGGTCATCATACAGGGGAAAAGCAGAGCTCCTCCCTCAGGCAGCCCTCAAGAGACAGGTATGGAGCGCCCAGAACACATCACCTTTTAAAGACTCTGGGGCTGGCGAGCAAAACTGCTTCGCAGGTCAAGTCTGTAAGGGGCCACAGTTTTCTGCTTTGTTTTGGGTGTATCTTTTGCTAACTAGATATAGTCACTGTAACCCCACGAGAGGCTGGTATAATGCAACCTGTAACATTTTCAGTCAGGATTGTGGTACGGTGATAAGGCTGTAGGAATGAGCGAAGAGACATGCCCATAAAATGGATTATGCTGAATGATGCTACTCAGCTGCTTTTGAGATGCAAAGACAACAATTAACTGAGCTGACACGAACAGACGCAAATAGGAACAGCTCTTCATGCCTGGCAGTTAGAGAAACACGACTTTGGTGTAGAGTAAATAATAATCTCTCAGAGGCAGACAGCAGGAAAACAGGAACTAACAGGTTTTTACAGACCCCAGACTCAGATGAATGAAGGCGATGTAGTGAACAGTTAAGAGAGAGCAATCAGAAGATGCTTCTTCTGCACCTTTGCCTGGAGTGTGGCAAAGATAAACTAATTTCCCCTAACTGGAAACAGGCTGCTACACGTGAGTCAAGGAGCTGCCTTCACACAGGTTTGTTCAGGTGAACTGAACCTTGTGCGCGAACATTTAATTAATAGATTATACTAAACCTTATATATAAGAAGTGCTGTGACACTACCTTACAAATTTCTCAGCCAGACAGAAACTGTTAATGAAGTCTGAATTTTTGTTACTACTCAACCAAAAAGCAGGTTTTCTATATGTTTTAGAACATAAAAGTAGCTGATTAGGACAAAGCTATGCTACTCTGATTTATCAGGTCCTTTTTGTGAAAGCAATTAGGTATGGGATTCCCAAAGGACTTTGAGAAAGGGTCCAGCAAAGATAATTACTGAACATATATCAATACTGCTGCGGAATTAGCATCAGGAACTTGTGTTCAGAAACCCCTCCTATATTAGATTTGACAAGCTAACCAACTTTGTCCCAACTTTGCTTAACTACGCACTTCTTTCCATTTAATGTTATATCACTATACATGAAATAAATGTTAATTACCATCACTGCATGGACAGTCAGTGAAACTGCTGAAATGGAAATCTGGTCCTGCAGCCTGCTACCAGCAAACACTTCCTGCAGTCTACGGAAGAGCCTGAACCACAGCCCGGGAAGTTAATCCCAGTCTGTACATAGGGTCTTGCATCAAGCCAGTACTAGTCTAAAACGTACTGATGAAATCTGGTCTTGTAACAAACCTTGTAAATAAAGCTGAAACTGGCACTGCATCTTTTCTCCCACACACGTTCTCCTTCAAGTTGTAAACTTTGCAGCAGATGATAGATACAAACCTAGCTACAGAAGGGTAGCTGCACACCAGCGTAGAGATAAAGAAAAAAGAAACAGACCTACTATGAAATGTATCCCTGAACTAGAGACGTTGGAGCTGAATTTCAGCTGCAATAAATCAACCTTATTTCATGGACCTCTATCCAGTTAAGCCAGCAAGGCTGTGAATTTGAGTTTTGGTATTCAAGAGATCTTACAGAAATCCACATGAATCCCATCACTTGCTCTCTGTGACATTTCAGGAGAAACTTGTCATAAACCTGCAATAATTCTGGCAGTTCCTCATGCTACTGAAAAAAACTTTTTTTCTATTCTATTTTCTGTCCTGTTGGCCTATGGGATGGTGAAACCTTTTAGAAGATCAAGAGAAAAATGGCTCATTCTTCATGTATGGGCCATATTTTGCTGCTTACATTTTGTCAAACTAAAACCTAGTACTAATATTTCAGTTTTTAGATCTGATAGAAGAGATTCTTCATCTCTCTAGTGCTTAAACCACACATTAGAATCACATCACTACAGTATGCAGAATGCTGCCATTTCTAAATATTAATCTGAGCTCTCTCGAATGTTGTCAGGGTTGATCCTTATTGTTTGCTTTGGCTACATAAAATTACTATTGAACAACTATGTACTAAGGGGCCTATCCAGTGAAAACATTTTCTTCTATGATTAACTGGTATTAATAATTTTCTTCTTTCACACACAGAGGGATATGTTCAAGCAGACTTCAAAATGAAGCTTGATATATAAGAATTATCCCAAGTTTTGAATGTTCCTTTCTAAGCAGTGAACATGCAAAAATTGTCAGTGGTCAGTAATGTGTATCAACTATTCTAGTTACAGGCAGTAGTACTTGCAAATGAAAAGAAGCAGAAAAAAAAAAGAAAAGTCAGGGACAGTGTGATATGTGACACTTGAAGTGACAGGATTCAGACTGTGGTTTTTCACAAAGATCCTTATGTAACTTACTGATGGCTTTGTAGCTAAGGATCCTTCCTACAAGTTGTAGTTGTTCATTGCTCAGATATATAGCAGCTTAGCTCATGCTGTAACGTTATGTACTGCCTCAGCATTTCTGAACTAGAGCTCTCTGGAGATGGAGACCAAGATGATATGTCTGTACTATGGCTAAGTACTGAAACCTAGCAGACTGCTTGCTTGCTTACAGTTATTTATAAGCTTGTATGTTTTCAGGATTTGCTTATGAAAAGCAATTCCACTTAATATCAGTACAACAGCATGGCAATAGTTCATATTTATAGATTGTAATATAATTTCAGACAGCCCCAAATTCCTTTACAAAGTGCGAGCCTATAAATCAACCTATAAATCAGTATGTTCACAAACACTGTAAGACTGAAAAGAACACTGAGTGAAACTGAAAATGCTGAGTATTTGAGTCAGGCAGAACATGTCTGCTCAGACTGGCAAGTTGTCATCCAAATAGGACTGTCCACACCTACTCTGGGCATTTAAAGCAATGGAGCTACATTAAGGACTTTGGTTTATGACCCCTCTGTGCAGTACCACTTTCCTAAGGCAGGATAATAGCTTCAAACTGAAGTGGAACACTCAACTAACCTGTTTTTCACCACTCGGCTTCCTGTAATTCAGCAGCAGCTCCACAGCTCCCACCACCTCTTTCCGTATTGCATACAGCAGAGCGTCTCCCACATACACGCTGTGGCTCAAAAGCAACTCCATGATCTCCAGATTTTCATTCTCTATGGCTATTAAAAGGGCACTGCGACCAAGAGGATCCATACAGTTAATGTTGATGTTGTAGTAGATCTCTGCCTCTTGCAAGGCATGTTTCACACTGGCATAGTCCCCCTTCTCCACAGCGCTGAGGTAGGCCTTCTCTTCCGCTGAGAGCTCTGCCTCCGCTCGCACGATCTGTAATGGGATCCGATCTCTGTACGGTGAATAGTTTACCTTTTTGTAGTATAGCTGGGCCATTGTTCATAGTGACCGGGCAACCTGTGGGGGAAGAAGAAGCACACATAAGTGACAAAACAGACGAGCAATCCCTATCCGTTCCTCACAAGGGACAAGTTTCCAAAGGTCCATCACGGTAAAACCTCCCAATCCCTTTTTAAGCTGCTTTATTCTCAACGCGGCGACTGTAACACCCCCTGAGCAACCCTACATTGAAAGGCTACCTAAAAAAATAAAGGTTACAGTACTGCTTAGAAGAGGTATGCAGAATGACAGACACTCAGTATACTTTTAAATCTGGTTTAACTATGCCATTGATTTCTTTTATCTGGTCAGAAGCATGATCTTGTTGTTTATGGATAATCTATCACATGTGCAGATAGGTGGTTTCTCATCTTTGCTTTATTTCCCACTCAGTGTCCCTCCTTTTTCACTGCTGAGCCAGGTCCTCAGTATCTCTGAACTGTCAGTGATGGGAGCTGCTGATATACACCCAGCTATTTACAGTAATAAGATTTATTTTGATTATTTTTGCTGCTTCTTCTCTGCTTCCATCTCTTAAAATAGGTTTTTATTTTTCCCTAATGTTTACTCTTTGACTAGGTCACAGTTTCATTTTTAAAGCTTGTATGCTTTTAAATGTATTTTCTTACTCTCCTCATTTATAAATAGGACCTAAAGACAGGCTGCTGTAGAAAGCCACCACTCTTGCTCTCCAGAGCCAGTGATGTTGTTTATGGTCTAGGAAAACGAGGAGTAAATCCTGCCCCAGAACAAGTGTAGCAAACAATGAATTACTGTTCCTTCCCGTGGCTCAGAGAGCCTGCCAGGTGACTGAAGTCGTAGGAAACATGGGCTGGACAGGTATTCACTCATAAGGAAGAAAGGAGCTATGCTTATCTACCTCTGGTATCGATAAACCACACCAAATCAGGACCATGGGACACCAGCAGCTATAACTAATTGATGACTTATTCCATGTCCTTGCCCAAAGCTCAGTTGTTTCCTGCAGCAAACTACCCAGAGGTTTGTTCCATTTTAGTGCCCTATCCAGGGGAAAGAGGAGGTTTTGAGAAAGAGATAATGAGAAGGAGCATCTTGTGGTTCAGGTGCCGAACTGGGAGTGAGATGCCATGGGTTCTGTTTTTACCAACCCACTGCATGCCATGAGGCAAACGTGTTCAGCAGAGCCAATTTGCATTTTGCCTTCAGCTCCAGTGTAATGGGCCTGGTGCGGCGGCAGTGGGTGGATCTGAGCTCCAGCCCAGCTGACACTGCAAAATAGTGGGTGGTTGTAGCATACAGCAAAGTTACATCTGAGAATTTCCTGGGGAGCCAGAGATCTGTAACGAGTTTGGCATCTCAAAAAATGTGCTCTCTTAGCATCCTGGTTTCCAACCAGTACGAGAAAAGTTTTTGTTTGTTACATTTCCAGAGTTACAGTTCTCTGCACATATGCTTCAACCTGAAGACACACACACAAAGGCATTAGAGGCAAAAGGACCTATGGCCTGAACAGAAGCCATCGTAAATATATTGGCTTATTTTCTACTGAAACATTACGCCACTAAAGCTTTTAGAACTAAGGAACAATCTCGAGTAACTTAGGAGCTTGAAGTCTCAATAAACTACATGTATAAACAACTACTCCGATTTTCAAAAGGACTAAGGATCACAGATCATTTTTCAAATTTTGTTTTTGAAAATGTTATCCCTGCAGGGTCCAGCCAATTCCCACTGAAATACTGACAAGACCCGAAAGGATGCAGAACAAGTCTGATAACAAGCATGGACCAAAGAGATCTTTGGGAAAGTAAGGCTAAGCCCAAATGGGAAGGGAAATTTTGTCCTTGTGTGACAATCTGGCTCACAGGAGCAGGAAACGCCAACCGGTGGCAGAGGACAGTAGCTACTGTGTGGAAGTCTCCAGGGAGAATCTGCTGGCTCCAAAAAACTGAGGGATTCTTATGACAAGCGCAGCTGCTAAAGTGGAACTGGGTATTTTTCACTGCTCTTCAGTTTAATTGAATGTTTTGTAGATGGTGAGTAACATTTGCAATGAGTTATAACAAATGTCACCTTATGAAATATCATGTCAGAATTGGATCCTTTTCCTTTCCAACAATTTTGTAGAAAGAAAAGAAAGCTTCAGATATCTTAACTTCTCAGTGAGATCTCATCCCCCAGTAGAACCCCAGTCCAAGAAAGCAGTTAGTTAATACTTCAAGCACATAAGAAGCTGCAATAAAACCAAACAGGAAAGACTCACAAAATTATTGATTTGCCCTGAATTCTCATGCCGCCATCTGCATAGCCTAACAAACACACACTGCTGACTGGGTTTGGAAATGATAGCATGCAGTATCAAAATAAATATATGTCTGCCTGGATTACATGGAAGATTTCAGCAGATGTGGACGGAACAAATGAGCCCAAGGATCACTGCTTTCTAGCTGTCGCTTCCCAATACCACCAATCTCCTGGAGTGGTACTGTCTCCTGCTTAACAATTAAAAAGTGACAAAAATACTGATGAAATCCAGGTAAGAAAAGGGGGAGGCAATTCATAGGTGCCTAGAGAGTAGAAACAATGAAGTACTTGAAACGTAGCGAAAATAGAAACATAGTCACATTAAAATTTTGGAATCTGTGCAGAGAGCCTGAAAATGCACGTTTTCCATATGAATTCTCTTCACAGAGAGGCATTTTCTGCTATTTGAGTTAATATTTGGGGCAAGAAAAGTTTTTTCCAGTCTATGCCTGATTGCAGATGCATAAGACAATATCCAATGACTGGCTAATGCAATGGTGATACCTGCAGCACAAACAGGTGTAGAAAAACTAAGAGAACCACATAACAAACTACACAAGGAGAAGCGGACTTACCACTCCATTTGGACTCTGCCACCTCTCTCCATTTGAGTCGCCCTTCTCCCTGAACTATTAGTCCAAATCTTCAAGCCATTTCAGCCTAACACCCCTTCTATGTTGCCTGGCACAGAAATGAGAGCTTTAGCCCTTGAAAAGCAGCCATACTTGGCAGAAACCACTTGACTGGTTTGGGGAAGGAAGGTTTCCAGCCACGTTCCTTTGTCTAATGGCATAAAATGGTTTTTCTACCCCTGCAAAAATGTCTCTGCATCTTCCAATGCTCAGTTCAGACGTATCTATCCCTTGCATCAACAGGGCCACTTTTTCACTCTGAAGAGTGAAACGGCATCACAGCTGCCACAGGTGGGTTTGTTGGGATCTCCTGCTGCCTGCTTTTGGACTGGACTCTTAGGAAGGACATGTTACAATCACAAGGGAATGGTATTACTTCAGTCGAGGGCTGAGAACAATGGCTTTTGCTGAAACCTAAGAAGTGGCTTTATACATGTCACCATCTGTAAGAAATCTACAGTCAGCACTCTCTACAGACACTGCACTGTCCTCAACACCCCTGCGTTGTCTCCCACCCTGGATCATGACTTGGTACCAAATGATCAGCTCATCATACTGATGTATCACGCCCAGGTGAAGCAGAGATCGCTTCAGCACCAAGGGGAAGAAGACAACAGAAAGAACGAAAATTAGCTTTCCTTTCAAATATTTCTGGTTGGAGAGAGAACATCATGAAAACTGCACGAAGTTGAGAGTGATGTGTGGTAGCACGGGAAAAGGCGGGGGGGCAGCCTGAGTGATGTGTGAGCAGTGAGGAGAGGGTAAGGAGAAAGAAGAGCGAAGGGGAAGCGCTGAATAGCAGCCATTAGTTAGAGACATGGTTAATGAAGATAGACAGGCAAAGGTCACTCGGCAGCACCGCCTTTTGCCACTAAAAATTTCATGAGTTTTCACTAGAAATTATTTTAGGATCTGTTAGCAGTTGAACCATTCCTCATTTCCCACTTGATGCGCACAACACACTCCCACGTGCCACTGTCTCATGGGAATCAGAATGACCCGTATGAAATGGGGTGATATAACTGAAAGGGTGGGAGCCAGTGCCAGTTTATATCCATGTAGTCACTAGACCCATTATAAAATAGGACCTTGCTGGCTTTTATTTGCTTTTATTATCATCTGACTTTTCATGATGCTGATTAAGAGGTGGAAAAGCACCACTGCTCCTCATTGCTGAGCTCCCCGTATAATGGAGGCAGCAGAGACCTGAAGGGTATTGAATTTAGATGCTGGAGCTCATTGCTCTCAGCTGATGTGAGCATCTGACTACCTGAGGAACAAATCAAATACTGCATCTTGAACACAAGATCAATAGACAAGAGCTACCTTTCCCACTTGATGGGACTCAGCACGAGCAGCCAACTCACACCACACATTAGAGCAGACAACAAAACACCCCATCTGCCAGGTTGCAAACAGAGCGGCTGGTTGTTCCCTCCTACTGGAGATTCACTCTGACACATGTTGGCAAAACTGTGTGTGTGGCTTTAAATGTCACTACATCTTCTCTCTCGGATCTGCAGAAAGGTTTATGTGCTGGAAAGCCTGCCTGTATTTGCTAGTTGTATTGGCCCAATAAAAGAACTGATCTCTTGCAACACATCTTACTTCGCTGATTCCCTCTGTCCTTCTCTCCAAGGCTATTTTTTCTTTTTAGTATTACAGGGAGAGTATTTTCCTCATTTTGCATTTCTAATCTGGACTTCAGGTCTGGAAATCATGGACCATAACTGCTAAAACGGCCTGACTCTTTCATCGTGCTCAAAGGCTGTGTGCTCAGTAATATTGATCTTTTTTAAAAAGGTTATAAACCTAAGTTATGAAATAGTCCAGAAGGGCCACTTAGGTAAATAATATTACATGTAGTTAATGGACCAATTGAATCTGTGATTGGATCCTTCTTTTAAGTGCTCTAGCTCTTATTTACTAACAATGCCTGACTGAGCTTATACCTCCCACAGTTTGAGGAAATAAAACTGACCTTGTAACATTCTGCAATTCTTTTCCTTCTGCAAAGATACCCTCTTGTTCCAGAAAATTGCTTTTTCCATGGAGTTCAGTGGGAACTGGATTGCAACA